AATTTTAAAAATAATTACAACATATTTGAGAAATGTAATATCAAGCAACATTCTAGAAAAATATATGGCCCAAATTGTTAACTATCGTATTATACCCTGATTATAAAAAAAAAATTCTTGAAAGAAAAAATAAAAATGTGAACCCAAGAACAGAAAAAAAGAACAATAGCAATTCACACAAGATGCTCTAAATATGAAAAATAAACCAGATTATGACAGTACATTAAAGTGACAACAAAATGAAAAGTACAAAGAGAAAAATGATAGCCATTATGTAATACGGAAACTTTAGAATAAAAAGTTGGTAGCCTTTGCACTACTATCCAGAAAGAATACCATGGTTAAGACATGAAAAAAAGTTTACTTAATATTTCTTTATAATAGATTTCTAACAAGTTTATCAAAGCACTTTTCTGCTATCAAATATGAATTTTAAACTCACTAGTCTTGTAAGCTAGAATAAGTACAGCCCTAAATAAGCAAATTGCTCCAGAATTGAAAGAAAACCAAATTCTGAAATCATGGAAAACCTTACAAGCACACAGCAACTTAGAGTGTAACTTATGTAGCTTATCCACTTTCCTACAGTGGCTTAAAAACAACCAGTGGGTGGGAGAAAACAGAAATAATGTTCGAAACTCAGCAAAAAAGGTAACTTAAGCAGTATAAATATCATCAAATTTAAGAATAGGTAATCCCACATTAAGAAATTAGTAAACAACTACATTAGAAATCAAATGTATTTTCATTTCCATATGAAAATACAACTAACGCTCAATTTATCTTTAAAAATTACCACAGTAAAATTTGACTGATAGCTCAGTTTCTCCCTTTGATTTACAATTTAAGCAGGAAATCTCTTAGGTTTTTGAGACAAAAAAACCTAGAAAGTGGCCTACCCTCTCACAGCAAATATGACCAGCAATCCCCTTCTCTACAGGAGATTCTCCTGCTGTTACTTCCTTACATCACCACCCACTCAATTCTTAATCCCTTACAATGTGATTCCTACCTAATTGAATAAATTGTCTCAAAAGATTCTACTGCCTTCTTTCCTCTACAGCACTGGACACTTCTAACAACACTCTGTTCTCCAGGACTCACCCCCATACTTCTTTTCATACCTCTGGGATAGTTTCTTTCTTTTTTTTAAAGATTTTTATTGGGGAAGGGGAACAGACAAGTTGCTGTTGTTTTGTTCTTCAGTCTAGTTGTGGAGGACGTTGCTTCACTGGCCNAAAAAAAAAAAATCAGGATTTGGGTGGGAGCACTACATGAATTGTAATCTTATGAGTTAGTTCATCACATATAGGGAGATACCCACTTTCATTCATAACACATTACTGAAAACGTAAAAATCAAATATGTGACAGTCTAACAAATGTTTTAACAAGGGAAAATCCACAGGGGGTTTTAAAAAAATACATTCTTAATGACACATCATCTTTTAGATAACATTTTCAACAGAATATTTAGTATTTCACACAGGCCCTTTAATTCTGTTCTTTTTCCATTAGAAATGTGTAAGTTCAAAGACTGTCTGCCTGACATCACACGCAATAATTACAAATTTTTTATGACTATATACTTATGGGGTCCTTACACTGGAATAATTTAAGGTTTTCAATTACTTTTTCAAAAAGTAGAGGAAATATAATCGTCAAATAATTACACACTATGGTATAAAGATGGTGACTTCACTGAAACTTCAAAATTAAACTATTCTGTGTCAGAAAGCACTGTTGTAAGATAGCTCAAAATGTGTGCAACCTAATTGTCAAAAATCAAATTTAGTATATGAAAAACAGTTGGTGGTGTTGTTTAAAGGTTAACATAAAAAAAAGTTAAAAAATTAGACTACTAAAATCATTTTTTGTACCCATTTCCTATACAAGTTCTGAAAACGAAAGTACTACTGGTTAACTATATCTTATTGTTATTTACTGATGATATAGTCATCTGAGCTGCTTAAGCTATTTGTATTCTGAAAGGTAAGTATGGAAAGAAACACAAAAGCATTGTAAATTTACCAAGCAGAACAAATTTCAAACTAAATAAGATTATAAAAATGACCAAATCCTGTTTCTCTAATCAATGTTTTAAGCAAATAGTTTATTCCAATTGTATGGTGATCTGAACCATACTGGACAGTTGTAATCATTTCATACATATGAGTTATGTAAGCTCAGGATTACGGTTAGCATTTTATACATGAGGACACAAGATTAAACACCTTACCCAAGTTATTATACTAGACTTATCAGGGTAATCAATTCATAAGGTCTACAAATGTTTAACCACTGTGTTGTACACTGGAAACTAAAATATGTCAACTGTAACAGGAAAATAAATTTAAAAATAAAAAATTTAAAATTAAAAAAAAACAGAAACACCTTGTCCAAGCTAAATAACAGAGACAGTGACTTGAAATGAGTTTAAAAAATGGTTTCAATGACCAAACTCTCTCAATAATGTTTATAAACCAATACCAAAATGAAATAATGTAATAATGTAATGAGAACGCCAAGAGCTAAGAAAATTATTAAGACATCACTACTTGGAGACACCAGGATCCAGACCTGCTCAAAATGATTAACAGTGACTCACAAACTGCCACTGGGTTGCATAACGTTCAGTCTTAACACTGGCAATGCCACTAAGATGTCGGAACTTTGACGAGTTCCTCAAAGTCTCAAACTATTAGAGATAAATTCTAACCCCCTACCCAAAGGTAGGGGGATTAAGTGAGAAATATATGCAAATCACTGGGCACAGAAGTTGATAAGTTGTCATTACTCAATAATTGAGAGCAACTGTCACCAACTGCTTTAGAATTAATTAACAGGCTTAAGGCATCAGAAATCACTAATAGACCCAGAAGCAGATTCGAAGTCTGTGACTCCAACTCAAGTTATCCTTCCTTACTACCTCACAGGTTTACTTAGTGCTTTCAAACAAGAACATGCAGTGGTGCAATAGGGTATAAGGAATTACAGGATAATTATAATGTGGTTTCCAACATGATCAACTTTCCACAAATATTAGGAGTGACAGGCGAAGCTGAATAATTTGACAGTTAAATAATAATTTAGCTGTTAAGACCTTTACATATCGCTTTAATATTAAACCAAACATGGATACAATGTGGGCTAAATCACAAAACACTTAATTTTGTGGTAAAAATAACACTTTTGAGAATATTTGCATTTGCTGACAGTATTGTGGCTAACCTCTCAAACACAAAGAATTTAATAAGAAGTATTAAGTATAAACTGGATCTGATAAGAGATATAAAATTCTATTTTCTAAACACCAATTTTTACATTTAAATTTTCTTAAATCATTTTTTAAAAACTCGAGTATAAAAATGTCAGATTTTGAATAACACATAACTGATACTACAACCTGCAGGTTGGAAGCATTTTAATGAATGTTCTAACTTTAAACAATGTATAGAAAGCAAAGATATTAATGAAGTCTACATATACTCCACTTACTTCTCTGACATTTATTTTCATGATTTAAATAAAAATTACCTGCACGTTGACTCTTTCAATCACACACGAAAGGACATGTAAAACATGCATCTTTGTGTCACATTCTGTAACTTGCTGCAGTAACTGAAAAAGTAGTGTGAACATGGTTTCCAAATACTGCAGGTCAAAAGAAAAAAAAAAGGTTTGAAAAAGCAATGTAAGATCTTTACATATAGACAGAAATGAAATAAAATTAAATCACAATGTCAAAGCAATGAATAAAAGACAAAACCGTAGCATGACCTAAATAACTTCAAATTTTTCAAGTTGCCAATATTTATGACAGTGATTTTTTTTCTTTACTGCTGCTAAATGTGTTGGCTTTAGAATTTAACTCATTCACAAACAACGTTTTCAGAAAAAAATTGTGTCTAAACTTTCTATGTTTAAATTTTTTACTGATAAACTATTAACAGTGCCTTGTGATGGTTCATTCGTATATGTCTGCACATCTACTCATCAAAGCAAGAGGAATACCAATCATTGCACTGACATACTGACTGTCTGATGTGGCCCTTAACATATGCTGCATGAACATATAAATTTTTGTAGATAAATAGTTGTAACTCTAAGAATTACAGAATATTTTTTATTTGGAAACTGAAAACAAATCTTCTATGTCTGGCTATTAACTCCTGTATTATAAAAATTATTGCAGGAATTAATAAATCACAGGATGCCAGATAGATAAAAATAAATACTTGTTCTTTCAGATATTTGGTTCATTTTCATACAGATTTCTAAAACATATTTCTCTCATCCAAAAATATCTAGTGATTCTTTTATTAAAGAAAAATTTCTGCTCTACAACTTTCCCCACAAGAAATATACAGCCATTTTTATCATATAACTTTCTTCTTGCCTAGTCCTCTTAAAAATAAACACTACTGCCACAATGTTATTGATATATTTAACAAGTGCTTATTAAGTACCAATTATGTTAAAACACCATACTGAGTGCTGGGAGTTGAGTAAAAAATAAAAAGATGAGCACAACTTTGGTATTCTGCTTTTCAAGTAATTTGCAGTCTGGTGTAGGATAGACATACACACACAAACAACAAAGGGGGATAACCTAAGGAGTAAAAGTAACAGACACACATGAAATTAAATTACTAGAAGTTTTATAACTGTGACAAAACAAAAAGCTTAGCAGTCAACTCCAAAATACATAAGATGGCTAAACAAAAACAAGCAAAATAAAAGTGAACTGATTCAAATAAAAGTTAACAATAAAAGTAATTACTTCCAAAGTAATCTAATATACTTTTAAATTCAGCTTTAATAAAAGATATAATTTCAGCTATAAAATAACACTTAATATTCAAAAGACATAAGCAGAAATTGTTATAAAACCTAGAAATGAATATTCTTACCGGTAGAAACTGATCCGTTCTAAACTCAAAATCATCAACAGGTGAAGATTAGTTAAGGAATACTGAGACTATAAGAGATTTATCAAGATAAAAAAANCTGCCCAGCTCCAGGTTGAGCTGTTGTTCAGCATCTTAGCTGTGGAGGGCAGTGTCACTGGCCCTCATATGTGGGATCCGAACCGGGGCCCTCTGGAGTCCCAAGCCAGTTCTTAACCATCATGCCACTCGGCCGGCCATGGGATAGTTTCTTACCTGGCTTTTTTGCAGGGTCTTCACCTCCTCGTATCCCTAAAGCTGAGTCTCAGATTCTGTCCTTGAACCTCTTTTTTCCTTCCAAGGCGTCTCATACACACTCCAAAAGCAAAGCTCTATTTCCAACAACTATAACTGCTTTCCCTGTCATTAAGACTCTAAAGTTCAGGATTATCTTTGATCACTTTCCCTTGGCCAGCACAGTCAATTAATTAGTTGTCATAAGTCAATCAACAAATAGTTACTGAGAGTACCAGGCACTGGGAATAATGTATGAACAAAACTGATGTGATCACAGCCCCTTCCCTGGAATTTACAGTATAGCAGAAAAGTCAGAAATGCTCAATCATTGTTAGTAGTTAAATAATTAACTCCTTGTGTACAAAGTACAATGATCAAGTGCTAAAAATTTCACTTCATCATTCTATTAAATCCAGTATCTTCTCTCCATTTCCACAGCCACCATTCTGAGACTAACATTTATCACTTCAACATTTTCTCCCACGACTGCCCACAACATGCTCCAGATGGGCTATTTCTCCACACAACATACTTGACTGCCTGCTATTCTTCTTATGTGGCTATTGTGTTTACAGTAGCAAAGTCTATCACATTCAAGGTCTATCTATCGCAAGGCCTTCTTTTATAAATTGCCCATTCTTGCTCTCTATCCTGAAGGCCACACCATCAGAAACAAACACATTTGGACTTTCTCAAATTCATATCTTCATATGATCTAGGAAACAGGGAACTGTACATAGTACGTACTCAAATTAATTTCATTGAACCTTAATAGATAAATCAAAGTATCACAAAATATACCTCACCTTGAAGTGTTTGCATCATTTCTAGAAGTACAGGAGTAAGAGTTTGATTATATTCATGGAATATATCTATAAATAGTACTTCAGTGCAAGGCTAGAGGGGGGATAAAAAAACAAATTTCTAATGAGAACACTGGTATAGTGCACTGATTAATACTACAATAAACAAAGAATACTCATTCTTAAAAATCTAAAACTCAGAAAATGTTTCCAATTCTTGATTTTTTTTAAAAAAAGATTACTATATTTTGTGAACACAATGAGAAATAAAAACAAATTATAACAATTTAATTTATAATATACAGCAAGTGTATTTCACCATTTTAATCATCTGGCATTATGCACTCAGAAATGTAAAACTACATAGAGGAAATAATTTAGAATTTTAAGTAACAATTCTTTAAATTAAAAAAGCAATAATTTATAGATTCAGTACTGTAAATGACTGTCTAGGAATAAACATGTAAAAATTATATATTTTCTTAGTAATGAATTATATTTAGCAACTCATGGATTCAATTCACCACACAGTGTATTTCCTTTAACAAACACAAACACTAACAGAAATCATAGTGCTAGCTACATTAAAAGAATGACTCATAATTTTCTTTATATTATGCAACATCAGTCCTTTTAAGAACCAAAATTAAATGTTGAAGGTATTGGTGCTTTATGTTTAAAAGGAATCTTATAAATATACATACTGAAATATACACAGATGAAATGATATGTAGAATCAGAATAATCTAAGTGAGGAGGGGGGGTACTTATATAAAATAAGACTATCCATGAGTTGATACCAAATAAGCTAGGTTTGGATACAGAAGGATTCATGATATTATTCTATTTTTTTTTTAATATTTTATTGGGGAATTGGGGGGGAGGGGTGGACAGCACTGGGGAATTGGGAAGGGGAACAAACAAGTTGCTGTCCTTTTGTTCTTCAGTCTAGTTGTGGAGGACTTCGCTTCACTGGCCAATGTTGGTATTATCATTGCGCTCNTATCTTTTCCTCTACAAACAATCTTATCTAACATCAAATACTTCAACATATTACAATTCACATTTGAATTACAATAACAATAACAAACTGTTTTATTTTTCAGTTACATAAGATTCACAAGTCTTATTACTTTCTACACTAAGATTATCATCTAAGTCATACTATGACTTTTTTAAATTGTAAGCAATTTTAATGCCTCATCTTCATTAGAAAATCACGATGGTAAAATAAGCACATAATAAACACAAAGTTTTATACTTGCCTATTGTGGATGACTTGTAATTCAGGAAGAAGTTGGTTTTTAAACCACTGATCAAAATCAACACTGTCAAACAGCTCATAAGCCGCTAATCCAACAGCATTATACACTAAAGAAGATTTGAGGGAAAAAAAATTTAACTTCAGATACTGGGCCAAATGCTAAGTGTCCTTATATAAGAAACTAAGCCTTAGGGACTACTTTGAAACATGTAATGTGTTAATAAAGAAAAAATCTAAAATATTTTAATGATGGAAATTACTTAAACAGACATTTTAGAAACATTATGTTACTTTACTCAATGTTTTTCCTAAGTACTCCTTAGTGCTTTCAAACAGAAAATTACATTCATTTAAGAATATACAAGTCAAATTATAAAATAGCATCTGCTACCAAATGGGTGCACTATGTTATGATCTGGTCCCTACTTTCCCTCTCTCCAGCCTCATCTCTCACCAAATCCCTTACCCTCTGTTTCACTTAAACCAAAATATTCCCAGTTCAAAGCATAACTGTGCTTGCTCATTTTCCCTTCAAGTTTTTGTACGTCCGAGTACTCCTGCCTCTGCCTGAAACTCCCTCCCCACCCTGCTAACTCCCACTTCCTTGCATTCTCATGTTATATATACCTGTTTAGGGGCCTTTCCCGAAACATGCCAAAACCACCTTGTGGTTTTCCACAGCACTACCCAATTACGACCTACTTTAGCATTAATCATTTGGTACTATTAACATGTTACAATCATCTGCTCACCTGGCTGTCTCCCCCACCAGACAGTTCCTGTATTTTAGGTAACCTTGTATCCCAACTCTCCCAGCATATCACCTGCCACAAAACAGACACACCATCTTCTAAAGAAATAAATGTTTCTAAATCACTTTAGTTTAACATACCAGCATCTTTGATTAATAGTGCATTCATATCTTCCACATTGGTGGGCCCTGAAAAATAAGTATCAGTAAAAGTAAATAAAATTAGTTATTAATAAATATTTTATTTAAACTCAATTTGTTCATTTCTTAATTCAGTTAAACACGATACATTTTGAAGCTAAATATATATATATATATATATATATATAT